CCCCCCCGGAGAGCAAGATCCGGCGCCGATCTACGTCGGCTTGCGAGGATATTCTGCAACAAGCAACATGCATCTCCCACCAACAGGGCACCGCCCCAGCCGGCAAGATCTGAGCTCTCGACAAGTGTGGTACTGTAATGCATGTGTGTAAGTAAGGGGTGAGGATAGGGCAAGGAAGATCGCGCGAGGTCCGTTGCCCATTTGAAAGGGTACAGCTCCGGCATTCGACTGGTGTTGATTGGAGAAACCAGGAAAACTACCGATCAGAGCAGCCGGCCGCTAGAATTCTCCTCTAGACAGCCGACCAATAGCTTTAGCTAGTGTCGAAAATCCTGCCACCGTTGGGACTCGAACCGTAGGACCTAGAAGCACTGCAGTGGTATCAGTTGATGCCTTGAGCCACCTTTTCCAGTCCTTGTCTCCGGAGATCACCATTATCAAAGGGGGGAAGGAAATAAGATTACTTATTTCTATGTTCACATGCCCGAAATATGCTCTTCGTGCTCACCTACAATGCTCGCTGTGGTCACTATTACCATTGGGGAGCTATAAATAAATGCCTTGTTGCATACTCCCACCAACTTGCAAACTTTCAGTAACAACTTTAATCTGTAATTACTCAGATGTATTGGATTGAATTAAAACGCATTTAGTATGAAAATTTATACGCTTTAATAAATGTTTACAGAATTTTAATGGTTTCCCTTACCCTTTCCAAAATATTCGCAAAAACATCTGAAAGAGAGCTCACATAAATTTTCTTACAAGGTGTGGTAAATAAGAAGGATAATAATTCTCTTGTCACATGTACATCACCTTCCTTTTTGACAGTATTATCCCCGAAAATATGGCGGCTGACGTTTTAGGCGACATTTTTGAATCTACTCGGCCCTGCAGGTCTGATTGGCGGACTGGTATTAATAGTGGAAGACTCACGATCTCTGGTACATTTCTTCAAAATTTAAGAAAATAGATAGTTTTATGTTTCGTCGCCGTAAAGATGAATTCATTTTATGCAAATTAGCAATATTTTCGGATTGCTTAATAAGGAATCCCATAGAAATAATATAACTTATATAAACACTGTTTTCCCTGTTTTCAGTACCCCATGGGTCTTTCTAAAGATAATTTCTCAGAATAAATGTTACAAACTTCTATTATACTTCTAGAGCAAGGGTGCCCAACGCGGTCGGAATCGACCCCCTAGGGGGTCGATTAAATTTTGAAGATGGTCAATGATGACGTGAAGATGATGAATGAAGGGGTCGATTGGGAGTATTTGAACCGGCGACTGACAGGTATAACGAAGATTCCACTGATTACAAAAATATTAATAACATTTAATTTAAACCAATAGTTTATAATAAAGTATGAATTCACTCTTTTGTATCCGTCGAGGATCAAGAGCGGTTGGTGCAAACAGTCCACCGAAGTGAGGGGTCCTTAAGAAAGACCCCCGCAGAGGAAGCGTTTTCAAGATATTTACCACGCATGGGTGCATTAGCCAACGTGCCGAGATCAGCAATACGAAGAAGTCAGATGTGAATCGCTCAAGTAATGAAAATATGGCCGGCAACCGTATTTTAGTTGAGACCCTTGAAGCCTTGCAAGTTGGACACCCGCGGCTGAACGGTTGTGGCGCAGTAACGAAGGAAACAACCACCATGGGCGCTACACAGACGGACGGTCAGCCGTCTGTGTAACGTCAATTTATTTTTCGGTGTCAAGGACCCAAAAAACATGGATTCTGACTACACGTGTTGGAATTTACTCTGTATTGAAACAAGATTTACTCTTTTTTTTTTCTTTTTTTTTTATCAGGGCCCAGCAATAAGAGTTTTTCTTTCGAAAATTCGCCGTTTTCCGGTGCATGATTACAATACTTTCTCATCTAACGAAGTAAGGGCAAAAAAGGACATTGGTGCTACACACTTTCTCACCCTGTTTCTAAATTTGCAGTTTTCGAGAATGCAGAGTTCAACGAATTTCTAGCAGATTTTGAAAAAATGATTTAAATATATAAATTGCATTAACTTTAAGCCCAAATTACGCGACAATAAGCCGATTTTTCAAAAAATTGTACATGTTTAAAGAGCCGATCTTTTAGAACATTTTTGTTCAAAGCAAAAATCTCCATTTTCAATTTTACAGTTTTGAAACGTTACTTTTCGAAAATAAGAGTTTGCCAGAAATGTGACTAGCACCAATATTTTACCGCTCTTTAATACATACGAAGAGAAAATTACAAGACAATTGAAGCGGTTTTTGAGCAAATAATTGATTACAAAATTTTTAAAATAACCCATTCTTCACCCACAATTTCTCAAAACATTTTTAAAAAATTGTAAATGACCTTATTTTAAATTGTCTTTAATATACAGCTTTTATTCAAGAAAAATCTCGATCTTCAATATTGTGGTTGAAAGAAGATTGTAAAAAAATTGAACATAAGCAATTTTTAAAAAATCTAGTATTTCAAGGAAAATGAAGCCTTGCATCAATGTCTTAAGCAGCCTTTGCACTACCATTTGACAAAGTATCAAAAATTTTGGAGCTATTTGTTAAAAAATTTTGAAAAGTAAGTTATGTAAAGTATGTATACCCCCCAAATCCAAATATCCATTTCAAAGTCAGAGGGCCCAAGTTCATTTCAATCAATCAACGAATATCGATTTTAGAGAAAATGGGCTGAACAGCTTTGGCATTAGATTTAACCTTAGACGGACGGACAGAAAGATGTTTAGCCATCAAATGGTTTTCCATAATAAGAAACCACAAAACATGGATTCTGACCACATTCTTACTATTAGAGGAAGTAATTTACAACACGTAGGAATAAGATTTATCCACTTTCTTGCTTCTGGGGCCCAGCAATATGAGCTTTTCTGTTAAAAATTTGCTGTTTTCTGGGGCATGATTACCAAACTTCTTAACAAAGTAAAAACGATCATACGAAGTTCTTACAAAGTAAGGGCTAGAAAGTAAAAAATAGAAGATCAAATCAATGTTTAACAATTCTATATTACATCTGTAATTACAATATTAACAATACTGAACGTTCCAATTTTGTTAACTTCTGACAAACTTTAACTGCTCTGAACAATGTAACTGATCAGATGTAACAATATATTTAATACAATAATTTACATAGTATATATAATAATTTACAACAATATAATAAAATATTTTGAAGACATCAAGTCAGATACATCTGCATCACCTTTCAGGTAAGACTATTAATGTATAATACATATTTATACAATTTTCTGAAAATTTTTCAAATGTTTTTTTGAACATACAGATAAGAGTTCTGAACTAGTTAGTAATATGTAACAGCCACTTGCAGTGGCAATGTTTCATAAGAGAATTGACTGACTATATGATCCAAAAGCTATGTTGATTGTTTTTCTAGTATTATTAATATTCCATTTATCACATGCACATATGAAAGAGCTGAAAACAAAAGGTAACACAGCACAGAATGAGAAAGTTGTGCTTGAATGAATTTTTTTTTTATACGATCATTTACCTAAAACACTATAACCATTTATGAAATATATTTCATTTAAATATGTAAATACTATGCCCTAAACATAGTTACAACATTTGTTCATGTTTTGACAGGTCCGCATTCAAAGCAAGTTAAAATCGCCCCTATACTCTGCCACATAATACTAAAATAAAGGTAGCTTTAAAAAAACGAATATATTTTTGATCCCATAAACAAAAAAGTAACATTAAAATTCCAACATTTTGTGAATTAAACTAATTAGGATTATGTGCCATCCTACTGAGGTAACATTAGTTATGTTTAATATATTACTAATATATTATTAATATGGAATTTGATTTTGGTAATACTGAATCATATCATAGGTTCGAGTACGGAAATTCAAGAAAGAATTTCTTATCACATTGATCATATATGCTGCAGCCTCTTTATCAGATGCTTGAGGTGCAAATCTGGAACGCAAAAGCTTGATTGTTTGCCCTCGGAAACAAGGAAGTCCAGTGTCAAGCATCAAAGAAACAAGGGAAATCAGAGCTTCTTGGTACGGTCTAGAAGGAACAGAAAAGAAACACAAATAATGCACACTGATATAAACACTTAAAATTTTTAAGAAAGGAAAGCAAGTTTTACCTCACTGCTAAATAGGCTTGAACACACAATTCCATGAACCAACGGAATGGAGGTGCTTCCATTTTCCCCCCCATCACCATTACCATTTCATCGGTGAGTTTTATATCAGGCTCAAAACCCAAATTACCACCAGGAGAACTTTCAAACATAAATCCAAAATCTGAAATTATATCAAAATAAGAATTGGAACTATTAATAATAATTTTCACTTAAATATTTTCCTCACATCTTTGCAATATTCTAGCTGAAGGGATTAAAAAAAGAGTCTCTTACAATCAAAGAGATTAGTAAAAATGAATTTGTAGTTTCACAATGTAAGCTCTAATCGCAATTCTGCATTATGATCCATTAAAACTTTGCAGTAATACGCAGTATCACTGATTATGATTAATAACAACAAAACAGATAGTATCATTGACAGTACCTATATGAATTATATGTCCATCAACATCAAGCATTATATTGCCATTATGGCGGTCTTTTATCTGTAGTAAAAAGCCTATGACACTGTAAGCTGCCATTGACTTGACAAAATTACGTCTTGCATTCTGCAACAAATCATATGTACAGTTATATTAATTCAAAATAAATGATAGAAGAACACTTCATTAAAATTTCAGAAAAATCTACTAACAAGGCAGTAGGAATCTTCCCGGTACAGTACACAACGGCTTAATGTAATTTTGATAGTGAAAATTATTCTCATTTTATAAATTTCATTCCAAAACCATTTTAAATTCTAGTAGATTAGTTAACCATATAAAAGAGTTGGGGCAGAAGTCTTGGCAACTCCTTTTTTTAAAAAAAAGAAATGTTATACTGCAGAAAAGCGTGTTCACATCAACAGAATATGTATGAAGGCCTATTATTACCAAAGAGAGCAACATGAAATCAGTTGTCCAACTACCACTGTGCAAGATGAATATAACATGTTTCGAGCAGCGCTCATACTCCTAGCCATTCTCCATCAGAGAAATGACTGAGAATGTTACAGGGAAGTGTGGAAGCTCTTGGGAGTAATGCCCTTCCATACTGGACAGTCACAAGATGGGCAGAAGTGTTTCTGCAAGGAAGCTTAGCAACCAGACGTGACAATCTGTTAATGTGTGGGCTGATATGTCAAGTGAGTGATCGAGCATCTGCCTAATTGGGCCTTCAGAAAGTGTAAGTAATGCTTTTGGAATGTTGTGAACTCTTAAATGCTAAAATGCTTTGGAACATGAAATCAGTACTATCATTTCAAATACCTTAATAAATATTTGAAACACAATTTTGGTGTGTTATTAAATGTGCATACTCTTAGTTTATACTTTGTCCTTTAGTGTGTATAATTTACATTTTCCACCAATGCTCATACTCTCACAAAAGAAAATAGTTGCCATGACTAGTGCCCTACCCCTTGCATATGCCCGAAAATACTGAATTTTAACACATTATGCCTAATGGGCTAGATCACACTCGTTTGAATGTGGAAAAAATACCACAGCACATTGCAACAAATCTTAGAAATCAGATTTCATAATTCCTTCCAAAATTCATTATCCCTCCAATGTAGTAAATTGCATGTAGGGCGAAATAATAAAATGGCAAACTGTCAACAACGTGACAAACAAACCATTGACCACTGACCAAGAAACAATATTAAAATGTTGTTCCACAAACATAACGTAGAAATTTAATACCACAACCATTCAAACATTAATAATATTATGAACTAAGACAATTAATAGTTTTCTTGAATAGCCTTACAACTTAATTTCAGAGTTTACACACTAATCAATTTGATATTATTAACGAGGCCAATTGTTTTTTGAGAACCAAATTATCTAGATTTCTCACCTGAAATTCTTTGGTTGTTTCATCTCCATATTTCTTAATAAAATATTCATACATTCCAATATCAGTTTGTCGCCCCAATTGATCTCGAGACTTTGCATTTGGAACACATTCAATGACACCACACTGCACACAAAATACATTTTCTAAGTAATATTCATTTAGGAAAACAAACACAATTCAAAATATTTGTACGACTTACTCCTGGAGCAGTTGCAACAACACGATATGGAAACAAATACAGGTCAATTCCTACTTGCATGAAAATATTTTTGAAAATTCCAATCACTTGCAATGCCAACATGTCTTGCCTTACATCGTCACCAACCTTCAAAACATACAAAATATTAAACTTCGAGAAAAAATCTTTAACATATTTCAAAAATAAATATAAATTTTCCCTCACTTTAAATATAGCAGCTTGCCAGAGTTCAGTGGATAAACCATCACCTTCTTTATTAGGTGTCTGACTTGCCATATTCATTAGCATGTTAGAGATATTGCCTTGTTGTGAAACGGCCATTGCTAAATTTTCCAACTCATTTATGCCACATCGGCGAACTCTGAATCGGGCTAAATATGGAGCTTTTGCAGCACTAAAAAAGTTTAACATTGTTATTTAAGTATCTAGAGCATTAAGTAGATGTTTTAGTCCCAAGGGAGACTTCCAATCCTGAAGGCCTCTGACTCGAGGGGTTGGAAGTCCCCTGAGAGGTAAAAAACATCTAGTAATGCCCATGATGCATACAAGACTTTATGGTTTACTACTTTGTTGCGGAGTCAAACGAAAATTTGAAACATTTTATAATTTTTCTTGCATCTAAATCGAAAAGACCAATTGTAATTGTAATTTGTCAATATGACATCAGATAAACAGAACAGTGTGTGTATCTAAAAACTGATTTGTTTGTACAAAATGAAAGAATATTGTAAAGTTCCTGCGGAAATTCTCACCAAAGCTAAGAAAGCTACAGATGGTGGTTTTCCGTAAAATTTCAAGAAATAAAAAAAAAATGATTATAGTGTATTTGAGAGTTATATGAAAAATAACAGAGTGAATTGTGTTGATGAAACAGTACTTTTAGGTTATTTGCCTCTGATGCCAAATGTTATTCAGCATATTTCATAACATCAAAAAATAACTTTTCAAGGATGTTAGCCAATGTGCCTTATACATCTTATTACTACGAGTAGTATTGCTCCTCTAGAAGCACATTCTTCTTCTTCTTCTTCTTCTTCTGCACTTCAAGGGTTAGGTTCAAGAACTTGTTCCGGTGTCCACTTCCTTCTGAGCCTCCCTACATCTCTTCTCCCTCTGCATCTGTAGTCCACTGCGAGTGCTGGAAGTCTGCTGTCGGGCATTCGCATGAGATGTTCATACCATCTTTTCTGATTTCTTTCCAGTTTCTCCAGCAGTGGTTCGACCCCCAGCTTATTTCTTATCTCTGTGTTTTTCTTTTTATCTAGGATATTTTAACCTAGAGATTCTTAGAAATTTCATTTCAGCTGCCTGGATTTTAGAGTTATCTTTTTTTGATGTTAATCTTGCTTCATCTCCATACATTAACACTGGTACAGCTACTGTGTTGAAGAAATGTATTCTTGTTTCTATCCTAGTTTTATTTTTTACATGTCTGTGTATTGTGCCACATATATTTCTAAATTTATTTAATTTTTTATCTAAATCTATCACTCTTTCAAACGAGATGTGGCAGCCTAGGTATTTGAAGTATTTTACCTGTTCTATACTCTTTCCTTCTATCACAATCTTTGTTCTCACTCGGTATTTTCCTTTATATGCCATAGTTTTAGTTTTTTCTTTGGATATTTTAAAACCATATTTCCATTGCAGTTTGATTTAATTTATATACTGCCATTTGCATTTGTCTTCAGTGTTCCTAGATTATCACTTTGTTCATCTGCATATAAAATAGAAATTTAAAAAATTTTTCCTAAAATAGATCCCTCGATCTAATTCAATTCATTTCTAAACATGTCGTCCATAGTTTGTATTGAAAAATACAACATAAAGATCATATGTGAGAATTAATAAATGAAAGATTAAAAATAATAGCAAGACCACATATCAGAAGAACAAATGGGATTTCGAAAAGGCAGATCGACTGCTGATGCCATTTTCACATTAAAAAGAATAATAGAAGGAAGACGTAAACACAACTGTGAAACACACCTAACATTCGTGGATATAGTAAAAGCCTTTGATAATGTCAATAGAAGCCTCTGTGGAACATAATGGAAAGAAGGGGGTACCCAAGACACTTGATAGAGGTGATAAAAGAACTATATGAAACGAGTATTAAGTAGGTTATAAAAGGAAAATTGACAGAAGAGATTCCCACCAACAAAGGTGTAAGACAGGGCTGTTGCATATCACCGACACTTTTCAATATATAAGAAGCACATTCTAGGACTCAAAAAAGGAGATACCTAAAAGTGAAATATGGTATTATAGACACTAGTGGCAATTCTATATTTACGGAAACATTCTAAAATTGCAACTTTCACTTCAATTAAGCAAAATAAAGTTTATAATAAGTTATTTTACTTATTTGAGAATTATGCCATTTATTTATTGTAATTCATGAAAATATTGTATGTGTTGTGTTGCTAATAAAGTGGGTAATAGAGGGTATTCAAAAGGGCCAAGGATACAAAAAATTAGAGAAGCCAGAAAGGGTATTAATACCATTATGTGATTTGTTTGAGGTCTGTATAGGCACAGAAATGAACTAGTAAACCATAAAAGAATCTTATATGTAGATATAAATGTAAGAACTATTAATTATTTAAACATTGAAGTGAAATAAAATTTTGTATTAAATTTCCCATGCTCTTCTTTATTGACACATGACCAGCTTATCAATCAAAACAAGCATTTTGCAATCCTTAAACATCTGTTAATTTCTAAAACCATATTAGTATTCATTAGTAACTAATATATATCACAATGATTTTTGTTTTTGTCATTTCTTTGATTGTTCTAAGATGTCTTGCATTTTAAATGCAATGGCTGTCATGTTTCAACAGAAATTATATTATAATTCACCAGTGTCACTCACATTCTTTCATAGTTAGTAAAAGGGATTTAAATGATAAACTGCTTGTTTTCCTTTTTCCATATCACCTGCAACTGTTATTTACTTCCTACGATCACCTGGTTAAGTTGCTTTAATGAAACTGTTACCTCTGCATTGGGGTGCCACTTTTGTAATCAATGTCCAAAACCATAGCTTCAGGGTTCGATGGTAAATAACAACCAGGCTGAACTTGTATACGACTTAATGCTTCAAGGCAAGCACGCTTCCGCTCAGGACCTGAAAATGATAATTTTGGCACACCATACTAATTTTTCTATATAAAAATACATCTATAAAATTCCATATTTTAATTTTACATTTAATCTAGGCTGCTCATCTGTTCACTAAGCATGTCCCTCACCCGTGGATTTTAACCTAAGCTTCCTACTACAGAATAAAGAACCATTTATTTTAAAGCTCTCATTATTTTAATATCCCTAAGAGAATTCTTGAACACTGACACTTCTATACAGCAAATTTTTTGAACTAAACTGAACCCTTCTGTTTAAATAAATAGGAATTATTTTTACGTGATGTTGTCTTTAGGGATAGTAAAGAAAATTTTTTTACCTCATATTAATACATAAAAATGTCTGTGTGAATGTTCTATAAAAATGTTTGAATCTTTGGAGTGACTGCTCTTAACGTACCACTTTTGAAAAGCTGTAAAAACAGCAACATAGGGGTGTTTGCAATCTCAAGCTAGTATTACTTAAATTTGGTTACACTCTAAAATTTGTGTTACTGGAAGCAATGCAACTGACATCTATTGCTGCTGGGCAAAGCAAGTAGGGCTGCTTAACTCTTAGACACTCGTGCTGGGGTACTTTGTACACCACTGGAACTGACAACACATTATGTGTCAACATCAGCGCACATTGTGACATTGACCTAACCTCACAGAATGCATTCAGCTGCATCCTCCCCGATACTCTGTTGTGAAAGATTTACTGCAGTGGAGAGACGATTGTATTTCAGTTGGAAAGTGTTCTTTGGTGTACTTTCTACACCACATGGGTACCAATGTGAGTTTTAATTTTCATAGAATTTTTTTAATTTATTGATGTAAATAAACTAATTTATTTTATTTTATAGTAGGAACAATACAGAGATGAATAATTTATCGGGAAAGCAGATATGTCAATTAATAGATGAGGAATTGATAGAAGACGAAATTTGTGATGCTGCAAGTGATTCTGAGGAAGTTGTAGTAGCCGAGAGTGAACATAACTTGTATTCCGAGTTTGATTACGTTTGTGATTATTCATGCAGCAATTTTAGAGTGCACAGATGTTTTCATTGGCAAAGACAAGGTTACAAAATGAAATAAAACACTGCTTGAGAGAAGTTTTCAAAAACTGGAAGCCATGATGATCAAGAATATCCACCAACAAAATTAAGAAATCAGAATCACATTCTTGAAGCCATTTCATCCAAACATTGTTTAAAAGATTAATATGCTTAATTTATTATCATTATTATTTAATTAAAATTGTAATATGTATACATATCAAATAAAACAAAATAAAAATTATATCCAAAGTTATTCAGACCTTGCAAAGTTCATTTTTATAACAAAATAGGATTGGTGTACAATATAGGCTGCACAGGTACTTGTATGACAAAATATAGCGCAAGTAACTACGGGTTAATAGATATCTGTGATAAATACCTCTGCAACATCAAATAAGCAGCTAATATTAGCATATTGATGCTTAAAGCATGCCTTCCATTTATGATTCAATGAATGATAAGTAACTACCTTCTGTTGAATCAAATTAGTTTGACAAGAGTTCCTTCAACAGGATAATGAAGCATAACAACAAAATCTTAATAAGTATTAGTGATACAAATAAGAGTCAGTTTATTAATGACGAATTGAAAAAAGAAAGACTTCACTAATCAGAGAAAAATACTATCAATATACTAGATTACTTTCACATTCCACTCTTAGTCAATGATAATAAACAGATATTTTTATGTCATTTAGCAATCAATTTACGTTGTGGAAATGGCACAGTTTTTATATGACATGGTTTATACATCTATTTTATTGTGACCTCCAAGAAAAATTTCAGGTAAAGTAATTAATTTTCAGGATTTAATGATTCAAAATCACGAGAAATGACTGAATAAAAACTTCTAAAACATTGTTCTACTCTTAAAATAACATTTCCCTAGAGCTACCATCACAACAATATTTTCACAAATTGCTTCCCTGTAAAACGTTTAATTGCATCATTCAAGTTTCTAATATGCACAAAAAAATGTTACATACCTTTAGGAAAAGGTCTAATTTCCCCTGAAATATTAGTAATTTTTTCAAAAAAGTCAAATTCACGTTCATAAAATTGTTTGGCTGGTCCTGACAAAGAAGATACAATACTCTTTGTCAAACCTTCCAGAAGATCATACAAAACAGCTGAAACAATGCAAGAAACATATATTGCAGTTAGCCACTTAAAGTTGAGACTCTTTAAATACAAATCCTACAAACTTACGATCTTTCTGCTGCATATCTTCATCTAAGTACATATTTGTCTTCATGTTCCATATAAGTTGATGACCTACCACTTGTGATCGCTTGGCAATATATTTTATAAACTCCATTACATAACCCATCTAAAAGTAAAAACACAAGTTATGTAAAACAAATTTCAACACTTCTCACACAATAATGAAAATGCAATATTCAACTTCTTATTCTGAAGATAACATATAAGATAATATATGATAATATAACAAAAATTATCCTAACAGAAATTATATGAAACTAAGGCTCACGGCTATTCCTGAGAAGTACACATTGTCAGTCAGAAGTGTGACTTTGGAACTCTTAATTATTTTGCTACAAATTACAGATAAGCACTGATGATACAAGTAGACCATTTAGTATATGATTATTAATAAAATAAAATATTGTTTGAAAATGTTAATGTGATGCATATGATTGTCATTAATATGTGTCAACAATCATTTCAACACTTTCAAGCCTTTATCACACGCGCATTGCATTGACACATGTTAAGTAATGCGCATTGAATCTCATGCGGAATGTCCAAAGTGCTAGTGTGCTGTTTTGCATATGATATAGTGCTATTCTATGATGCACATCACTTAACCCATGTCAAAGCACTACTCATGAGTAGAGGCCCTTAGTGTTGATTCAGTGTTGCTCACCGTATCATGTCGTAGGGCCTGTACCAACTGAGGAATGTAGAAAAGTACAGCATCTGCAGGGTAACTGCTCAAAACTCTAACAGCATATTGTGCAGTTATAGGATGTGGAGGAAACTGTCTTGAGAAAAATGCTAGGGCTTGAATAGGAGATACTCTTGCCCATGTCAACATATGGACGAGCTTAAAAAAAACAACACAAATTTATACAAAGCTTATCACTGAATAGCGTACATTTCTAAGTAACCATTTCACTTACTTCAGTCGCATCATTCAGAAGTGTGTCAGTAGTAACCAGATATGACAAAGCATGAGCAATATGTGAAACAGCAATGGGATTTAGTCGAATCTGGCGGGATACTTCTCTGATAATTACTTCAGAATTTTTCAATCTGTAGCAATATTAAAAATTTCAGAGAATGTATACAGAATACATACTACATAGAACATATACTTCGTAGAACATATACTTCAAAAGATATTGCTTTGCTAGTGTACCCACCTTACTGGTAAGAAAACTGCCAAAGTTGGACTTATCTCCCAGGCAAGACGTGTATTGTCCCGCCACATTCGCTCTGTAATGGTTTTTGATCTCCAAGCAGCTATGTTATCCTCACCTGGCACTTGTAACTCAGGTCTACCCATGGGGTTGTGCCATATTAATAAAAATTCAATTTCCACAGCCTAAGGAAGAAATTTCACTTATTCATGTCACAATCATAAAAAATTGACATCTAAAGCAAAATTTCAGAGATACAAACCAGCAATTCCAAAATAAGGTTCCTTTTCTTAATGTAATCTTTAACAAATACATCGGCATTGGCAATTCTCTTACTTCGAGTAGATCTCTTTGACAGAGTGTTAGTACTCGAAGACAAAGGAACTGTATTAATCCAACCCACAGTGGCTGGCCTAGCAAAATCTCCAGAAGTTGAACGCAAATCTGACTGCATTGAAGAAAATGACGATGCTGGTCCGTACATGTCAAAATCTGAGAAGAATTTAGAATAATTATGTGAATTACAGAAATAACGGTATCAAATATATTATTAATAAAAACAATATTAAACTTCATTACAATTAATATTTTATGGCTTCCCAAAAACTCTTTTATTTGCAATGAAAAGTTTTTCTTACAGTATTAGAGTTATCATTAAAATATTATTTTGTAACATTGTACAATTTACCTCCAACAACACTAGCCTTCAAGTATTTTTTATCAGAATGCATTGTCTGCCAGAATCGTACCAAGACTAATATGTCATCCCGAAGTTCAGCTCCACGCTGGGTAGGGCAACGAGGAAGACAACAAAAATAATCCAGGCAATTGCAATAAATACGCTCTCGAAGAACATTTTTACTTAGGGAGCGAGGTAAAACATCACCTTGCAGTAATGACAAGCCGCATGCTAATAACCTGAACGCAAATAAAGAAACCAGAGTGTTGATAACTAAGTCAACAAGTTTTTAATGAATGACATTGACTTTGAAATATAATATAAATAATGAGTTTATAGACGTGCAAGAATGTGAAGAAAATTTGCAGCAAGAAATATTTAAATAATTCTATACCTGAATCGAACACCAATTGCAGCCACATGACGATTCTGGTGACTGTCAAGAGTGCCTACAGCCATGGGTAAAGAGCGATGTAGAAGCATTGCTAACATCTCTACTTTCTCTTGACTGCAGTATTTTGCCGTCTCTACTAACTCAGATAAGAACTGTTAAATCAAGACAGTCATTAATATATTCTTTAGTTGAATGCTTAATTTTAATTAACATTTATACAGAACTCCTCACCTGAACCCATATGTCATGAGGTTTGACAAAAGGAGGATCAGGTTCTAGCCTGCAGCCTTCGTAAGCAGCTAATGGACTAACTTCATCTCTTTCTTCTGAGAATAATCCCAATTTTTTGTCAATGGTGCACTAAAAACAATTGAGGCTTTCTATAATAATTATAAAAAAGTCCTCTCCGACGTGATTTACTGTTAGAAGTGCGCTAAAAGACATTCAATTTTTCCTGAAATGTACTTCCATAACTTTTCATTCAACAGAACTATTAATATTTTCATGTGTGATTTAAAGACAATCCATTTATTAATGGGATCATTATAAAAAAAATCTTGTTTAAACAAGTATTTCTGAACACATGGAAGTTTTTCATTCTAGAATAAAGACAAAAATATTTTAACATTTTTAAGCAGCTTCTTAGTCATCTCAAGGCCTCTGCAATCAAATCCATATTTCTGTCCAATTTTTATTTGGTATTTTCCACTAATTTATAATAAAAAAAATGATATAATTGTGTTTTGGCAGAACATTTCATACTCACAGAGAAAAACTAGAATGAACCAGAAGAGCAAGTTTAAGCAATATTCAAGCAAAACCAAAAATCATACCAAAAGCACAAAATTTATCTTTGTTTTTTTCTATGTGAGCAAATTAGACCAATTGTTTGAAATCACATTATTTTTCATTTTTGAGAATGATTTGTCAGAATAAAGCAATACCAATAATAAAAAGTTTCTTATGAAATACAACCTGCCATGCAGCTAACATTTCTTGCAGAAAGCGTAATTCCAGATCTGGACGAGCAGTGACTAGCCATTGCCAACATTCCACAGCCGTTGTCATGGCAATTTCAGAGAACAGTTCAACTTGTGACCATGCTACCACATGCAGAAGTTGTCGGTAGGCACCTATTGCATATTAACGACCGTGTCAGTGTCAATTTCCAATTTCTCAAAATATCAAATTATTATCATTTCAGTAGCACTAATAACCAGAGATACCTGGGGTGGATATCAGCATAGCAGTAGCCCTCCATAATGCACCACGGTGCGCAGTGTTGTCTTGTTGCTTGCAAGCATGCCATACAGCTTGAATAAGTCGAGTAATCAACAAATTTCTTTCTACTTCACCTTTACCTTCTAGTTCAATCAACATGCCTGATACTTCTCCGGCATATCTACTGCGTAAAGTTAGAGATGAAACAAATCTTGATGAATCACTTTTCACACAATTTGGTCTTTTGTCCAACATGCTGGCCTGTACAGCAATTATTAAATTTTAAATTTCAACTAATAAACAAAAATACAGAATAATGTTCCCTACTCAAATAAAGGACACATACACTCAGAGGAGCAGATTGTAGGTTTAGCCCAGTATACTGTAAAACACTTTCTGTCGCCAGAGCTAAACCAGAATGGTGCCACATACCAGAGCTAGGAATCTGATTCAAGTAGTCCTGGAGATGAGATCGGGTGGCATGTGGAGCCCATTTCATAGCTTCTTGCACAATACCTTGACAACGTGCTGCAAAGTCTTTCACTATTGTCTGAAAACGTGAACATACTAGGTAAGATGAGATGATAATGTTTTGTTATTTGAATTAAGTTAAAGTAACTCTCACATAATTTCAAGTATGACAACACAAAAGTTTAATATTCATAAAAATATGTTATCACAATTTTCAATATTCAGTTAACATTTTTATCCTGTTCCTTTTGAATTAAAATCAAGACATATGTGAAATTGCAGGGTTAGGATTACAGACACAATGGTATATGAACTCTCTATGTTACCCTGGAGTTGCATTAGTTGCCTGCTCTCAAAAGGGGCAACCGACAATGCTGACAGGATGATTCTGTCTCCCAAGGACCTGACTTCATATTCTTAGGGACTCCCCCTTTTCAGCACCCTTGCATCCACCAACTCCAAGACCTCTGGCTCCCCTTAGCACTCACAAGCTCCAAACAAACATCCCCATCCCTCAGGCACACTCACACAACCCAGGACATTTAGGGGCACACTTGCAATGTGCCCTCTCCCTCCCCCTCCCCCTCAATATTTCTTTATTGAGAGATATCAAAAGAGCTATTATTCACATCTGTAAGCACCTTAAAAGTATTTATTTATTTATTTATATCAAAAACAGTTAAAAACTGTGATGTGCGATGAGGAGAAATTAATTTGAAGTTACAATTATATCCAGAGGCAAAACAAGGGGCCATCTCAGAATTTGCTCAAGGATCAGGAAAACTAGGAGAAAACCTTATCGAAATGGGGGTCACGTACAATACTTGTTACAGGTTCTTTAGAATTATACAATTTGTATCTACTCTAATTGTATAAAAACAGTTGTGCAGGAGTAAAGATTTTACTTGGGACTTAAGCTTTTGTATCAAATATAATCGTTTAATATCATCTGGCAAGGTGTAAAATAATGTACATGTATTATATGTGAATTTTTCGTAGTGACCTGTTAATACTGTCAACTGATGAATATGATTACTATGTCGAGTGTTATAGACAACGACGTTTGGTGAAAATAACTCCAGTCCTTAACTAAGTCATTTTCGACCAAAACCACTGGTTCATATACGAAGAGACAAGGTAATGGTAAAATACCTAGATTAACAGAGGCTTACAAGAATCATGTGGGTGGGATTTGCTTATTATTCGTACAATTCTTTTTTGTAATCTAAAAGTCTGGGAGCTATAAGATGTATTTCCCCAGAATATTATGCCATATCTCACGTGGGAATGAACATTCGCGAAATATGCACAACATTCAGTGTGGAAGCTGACTGAATTTCAAAGAATTCTGAAAGCGTAGCATAAAGAACTTAATTTAGTGTTCAATTCATTTATAAAAACGTTCCATTTAAGGTTTAACTGAATTGAAAGACCTAAAAATTTTATTACCTTAACATTAGTCAATGGCCCACCGTTCATTTTCAGTGAAGTGCAGAGCTGCTTATTTGAAACGGAAAACTGCATTGAAACTGTTTTCTTTTCACTTCCTAAACATACATTTTAGGATCCTCCGCCCTCAATATGTTTTTTTATAGTTCTCTTCGAATCTTACAATCTTAAAAACTGGCCAATTCCTTACCAGAAGGCCGTGACACACGGAATAACACCTCACTTGTTTCAATAGGGTTCAAATAGGTTTCATGAAGGGTTCAAACTGTGAGAAACAGGCAGATGATAGACTGAGGGAGGTTCCCCAATTGCTACATAAGGATAAGGATGTGCAGAATATCAAATTATACTAATATCAACATATTTCTTAAGGCGTTAAAACAACCAATTTTTATAGAAGATAATCTGAAACAAAATTTCACCTTATATTCAGGTAAATATAGAATGTTCTAGTGATGTAGTTACAAAAATAGCTTAGGCAAAGTTCTTTACATACTGGATAGTCTTCACTGGTTGAAAATGAGAAAGAATGGAAATGAAATAAACAAGAAAAAGTATTTACTTCACGGGCCTCCAATGTATCCATTAGTTGAACACTGTACGGAGTGCTTGGCACTTTAAGAGTAGGAGTCTCTTCATTAGGATCCAACTCCAAAGAGTATGATAAAACTTGTAGAATATCTAACATACTCCACAACACGCGACAGTTCCATAGCAGATGAGGAAATCTTTACCAGAAAAGAAACAATTACAAACTTTAATGCCACTGATAAAAAACTCTTATAAAAATAACTTACATTCACAAATAACTTATAATACATAAAACTAATCATGAAGAAAGAAATTAGCGTGGCTGGCCTGAAAATCAATTGTGAGCTGTAATCAGTGGCAAACCCACCTTACTCAGCATCTGGCACTGTAATACTAAAATTACAATCTAAAAATTCATACAAATCTATTTGGATAATTATTCCTAGGTCAAAACACATACACAAGGAATTGATAATAACTACACCAAAATATTTACTTTTAAAAATAATTTTTACTTCATGCAGTAAATAATCTTTTTATAGGTAATTCAGTGTTAATTTATTTTGTTCCTCAACATATACAGTTAATACATGGTTTATATGATTAATTTATTTTGCCAATCATTGTAAAAATTTTAACTTCAAAATTATTTTACACATTCAAGTTGTTTACCACCATCTAACAACTGTGCCTGAGCACCAACTATTAACGTTACATATCTTTTAGTATGAAACTGGCCTGTACGTAGCCAATTGGCAATCGAACTTTCAGTTTCATGCTGTAAATCTTGCAACTTTAAGAGTTTAAATGCCCAGCATTTTAGAGCATTTACATTCATTCACATGCTTTAGGTGTTGTCATCTGGCTTTCTTATTCTAAGCAGCATTTGTCAGATTCCAGATCACTCTGTAGGCCTATACGCACTAAGAAAAATCAAAGCCAATCTTCACAATTGTTTTGTACCGTTTCAGCATTTTTATTAGTAACTAGCGGACCCGACAGACTTTGTCCTGTCAAAAAGATTTGTAATGTGACAGTTTTTTTGTTCCTACATATTTTATAGTCTGGGCAAAAAATTCTCCTGAACAGAACTGTCACCCTGGTG